CCGGGATCTCCATCCTTGATAGCCTCCTCTCCAACGCAGTCCGAGAGAGAGAGAGAGAGAGAGAGAGAGAGAGAGAGAGAGAGAGAGAGAGTCCGCGATCTTCTGGGCACTTGTTTGTGGATGCGGTTCTCCCTTACCGGTTGGCTCTCTCTGAGTACCGTGACGACGGGGGAAGACTTTGTCAAGGTGGTAGTCAACCCAGATCCTGCTCGCTTTCAGGCTGCAGTGAGTGGTTAGGGGAACATGCCTATTTCCATCTTCTTTGATAATAACTCGTTCTCACTCCCTGCGGACGTGAAAAAGAGGCTATCCCTTATATATGAGAATGGGTGGGCAGTTTCAGGTGAAACAAGGAGCTCCACCGAAGAGAGGCTTTATTCCACAACGAGAGGAGAAGTTTGGTTTCGTATATTGCTTCCCCTAATCCGCTAAGCACATAGAGCAGTGGATAGTGGATGTTGCAGAAAAGGGACGACAAATTAGTTATGGATGATGCTCCTTTTTAAGCTACTCTGTGTCTTTCAGACCGTGGATGCCGGCACGGGAATTAGCTGTTTGGCGGGAAGCTATGAAACAATTTTTTTTTTTGGATAAGGTGCCTCAAAGTGCCGGTCTTAGCGATGGGTTCCCATTGCTAAGATGCTTTCGGCACGGCTATCACAATCACATCCCATACCAAAACCCGCTGGCTATACCTTTCTCGGCCTTTTGGCTAAGATCAAGTGTATCTGTTCTGGTCAGTTTAATATCTGATCCGTGGCCCATCGGGCCACATTTACAAAAAAAAAAAAAAAAAAAAAAAAAAAAAAAAAAAAAAAAAAACGCTGACTCCGGACCTTCGAGACATCCGTTTTGACCTGGAACCTTCGGCTAAACTCAGATACACTCAGATACAAAAGAGAACGTCCGTAGATTTAGGGGAATTTGGCCGGGTGGAGGTGAGAGCTGGAGAAGACGGTGGGTTATCACGCGGCCTACAAGTGAGGGGGCTAGCTGGTGGGATGGGAGTATGGCATAGCAGCAGCAGAGATGGTGGCTCTGCTGCAGTCAGTCGTGCCGGAGGGTGGTAAAGTGGCTTGATGGGAATTTTTCAGAGTTGTTTCTGAGCTGTTTTTCTGAGTTGTTTCGAATTTTTGCTTAATCATGACGTTGTCATGGACATGTCTGAAGTAGTTGGGCCCCGGTCTCTCATGTTCCAAAAGCCTAAGATTTTCTGGTAGGAATTTTTCTGATGAAGTTTTCTGAACGCACTGGTTATGGGACGCTGGGCCCGGTTCCCAGTTTGTGCCAATTTGTGAGGATATGGTTGTATCTATGGGACGCTGGACCCCATTTCCAGCAGGTGTTGCTCCCCACCAATAGATGGAGCCTTGTTTTAACA